TTTTGAATATAATATATACAAATATTAAACAATAATGTATTCTATTTTTACGGGACATACTCACATACGGGACATTTTTACGATATTGGATCTGTTATGGGGATACCGGGACACTGTCATGAATTACGTGACGTTCCCGTATAATACGGGACGTATGGCATCCCATTGAAATTCAACCGTTCTTACCCCTACTAACAACCTACAAACAAACAAAAAAAAAAGATAATGGTCTTAGTTGCCGGGCCCAAATTCAATAAAAAATAAAAATATTTGTAAGTTTATCACAAATGTATAGGTACAAACAATTATTGATAAATATTTAAATTAAATAATTAATAAATACATCCTATAATTGGTTCAAGAATTTCAGATGTAAGTATGTTATACATACCTATTATATTGTGCAGTTAAGCATCAGCAAGATAGATATGAATTTTAATTACTTATATTGTGTCACCGCCTGTGTGTATTTAATAAAATCTTAAAAATTCTTAGAAGCATTATAAAATATTATTTTTTGACAAATTGTTTTTTTTTTACTTTTTAAGAAAATTTACAATCTGTACAATTTGCACAATAAGTAAATATGATAACTGACATAATACTACTATATACATACATATAAAACACATGTTTTGGGAAATCATCCAGCGATGGTACCCTCCAGCAAGACAAATAATTGTTAAAATTATAATATACATAACAAAATTAATATTGTTCGTTGAAATACGACGGTAAAAATAAAAAAGTATTTAGTGTTGTGGAATAAAACACAAAAAAAAAGTATTTTGAAAGTATTAAAATACACTAATAATTGTCAAAAGGTATTTGAAATACTAATTCACTAATTACTACAGTCAGTGGCGCCGAACTCAATTTAAAATGGGGTGGCAAACTAGTAAAAATTTACCAAACACCCACCCACCCAGAACCGTTAAATTAAGCGGGCATTCTTAGGCCATACCTCAACGTTAACTTCAGACATTATAGTCATGTAAAATAATTTAGATTTTGTCAGTTATTCATAAATACTAGTCTACAGTAGTGAACATTAAGCACAAAATAAATTTTTAAAAAAAATATAAATGCCCATGAAAATGTTTGTATTTGTTCTCAATTACATTTTCTAAAAAGTGTTACAACAACTCTTGTATGGATGTATTAGGTTCTCTGTTAACTTTTAATGTAATTTTGGCTGGACTAGTTTCGTTACCACATGTATTTAATTTTAATTTAAAATATTTTTTTAGATTCTGAGTGAAACGATTTTAAAATGATGTGTTTTTTTTTAATTTTTAATTTTTTTTGTGTCTGTCATCACGTTTTAGGATAGTAAAAATGCTTGGATTTTCTTCAACAGTAGCTTTTCTGATAGGAAAATGAATCTAGTTGGTACTTTGGGGTAAAGTAAAAATGTCTCAGTAGTTTTCACAAGCGCCGGGAAAAACAACATAAAAATTAAGGAAAAACGGGAATTTTTTAGCAAAATCGGTTTTCCAAAAAATCGATTTTGGTTTTTGTTGTAACTCTAAAATAAATGAACGTATATACATGAAATTTTCACTGGTTGTTTATATTTGCATTTTCTATACACGATAACATTTTCAAAATATTTTGATTTATTTTGAACTGTTTAGGGACATTTTTCTTTTGTTTTTTTTTCTAGAAATATCAATAAAATTTTATTTGTTAGTTAAAATAACTTGAAAATTTAATAGAAGGCTCCTAGTATATTATTTCAAAGGCAGATGAAAAATATTAAAAATCGTTAGTCAAAGTTTTTTTTTATAAGCATTTAAAGTTCAAAAATTGACAAAATATGGAAAAATCACGAAAATTAGCAAATTATTTTGAGTTAAGAATTCGTAAAAATTTTTCTTTTTAAATCTAAGATTTGAAAATGTAATACAAGATTCCTTATAAGATTATCTACCTTTATCAAAACAAAAATGTCTATAAGAAAGTTAAATTAAATTTTTATGAGCGTTTGAAATTCAAATTTTTACAACATTGGATATTCACTCGATTTCTCATGTAGCGATTTCCTTATTTTGTTGTAATTCAAAAACAAATGACTGTAGATTCATGAAAATTTCACTGAATATTTATATTAGCATTTTCTATACACCATATAATTTTGAAAATATTTTGACTTTTTTTGAGCTGTTTACGGACATTTTCAGTTTCCCATTTTTTTAGTTTTTTATTCTATAAATATCAATAAAGTTTTATCTGTTGGGCTAAAAAGTGTAAAAATTTAATACAAGGCTCCTATATTGTTACAATATCAGTTGAAAAATATAAAAAATATATAGGCACAATTGTTTTTTATAAGCATTTAAAGATCGAATTTTGACAAAATTTATCAAATTTAAAATTGAATAATTATTTTGTAGTTAAAAATGTATAAAATTTTCAACTTTTATAATATAAAATATAAGATATTATCTAAAGATATCTAAGGATTGAAAATTTAAAACAAGATTCCACGTAAGTAGTAAATTCTGTTACCAAAAAATCTAAAAAATACATAAGCACAGTTAATTTTTATAGTCATTTTAAGTTCAACTTTGGACAAAATTACATAAAAAAAACCTAGAATAACTATTTTAGTTATTTTGTTGTGATTGTGTAATATTATTCGTGGGTACTTGAAACTTTTAAAGTACACTATTATATATCTATGGAGTATGGACTATGATAGTATCAGGGTTTGTTGTTGACGTATAACGCATTATAATAACCTAATGGATATTATGATATGATTGATTTGGAATTTATTATAGGTAGTGTTTGAAGTATGAGAAATATTTCATGAAATATTTCAAATGAAATATTTCATTTTGAAATATTTCACTAAGTTGTGAAATATTTCACAAAAACGTGAAACATTGAAATTTTTTTAACACAAATAAAAACACAATTTATATATTTTTTTAACACAATATTCAGTGTTCTAAATTATAATGTCAGAATTCAGTAAGTATACAATATACATGTATAATATTGTATACCTACTTGTATCATTTAAACATTAAAATATTTAAAAATTTTGAATACCAATTTAAATGTATAATACCAAAGGTTAGGTATACATACAGGTACCATATAGTGATGAAGGTAATTTATGACAATTATATGTAAAAATAAAACTTATTTAAAAATAAAACAAAATATATTAAAATACTGAAATATTTCACATATTTTGAAATATTTCATGAAATATTTCACGAAATATTTCATTTTTTTAAATTTCATGAAATTTTCAAACACTAATTATAGGTACCTATTTTAAGTAAATTTTTTTGATACGATAGATAAGTATATACTATGTCTTATACCTAGACTGACACAATACCATCTCCGCTCAGAATCGTTTTTCTTATACAATGATATTATATCATTTAATTAAAATTTAATACTATCCATTATACAGTGGCCTACTTCATACTTGTAACCTACTGTACAGCAGAGCACCTTTTTATAATTTTATATCAATATATTATATCAATATAATTATTATATCATTATTGGTTTTTACAGGAAAAAAGTTGGCTAAAATAGCCACTTCACAGTACTAAAAACCACTAACTGATAATGTAAAAATAATAGATAACACAATTTAAACTGTTCACTATACGTCTATAGTGAATACGTCTATATACTACCTACTTCATTAATACACAGGAATACACGGTGTATAGACGTTGCAGTCGTTACACTTTTTAATCCAAGTACTAATTTACTATCGAACACTCAGTATCTTGCTGTCAAATTTCTTCTGTTAGATATTTGCCCACCTGCATAACAGGACCCACCACCCACCCATTTAAAAGGGGTGGCAGTCGCCACCCTTACTATATAGGTTCGGCGCCACTGACTACAGTATACAGCTTTCAACCATGTGCACTGTGCAAACTGTCATATGGACTTCCATGGTAACCACTAACCAATAATGATTATTGATTATTAATAAATAATTGCTTAATCGATTTTATGCATTGAAAGTCATAATAGTATATTTTCCGAGCTTACACTTGTGTTAAACAACAATTATAATGTTTCGAAAATTGGGATTAGTAATTTTTTTCTATGTATTCCTTAACACTGTTATGAAGACTGAAGGTGGTTTGATAACTGACTTCAGAAAATTTCGTGAATATACCAACATAAGGTCAAATGATGCTGATGAAAAGAGTGTCCAGGGATTTCGACAGTCGGAAAGTATGTGTTCATCATTAGTAGTTGGCATATTTCATTATTTTTAGACCATCTCATTATTACTTCCTTTCAAACTTCTTTCATTAATTTGTAATAGAATTTGAAAATAATTAGTCCCGATTTAATTTATTTCGATAAATCGCAGATCCGAAAGATCAAAGTATCCTTTTAAGTTTATACGAAATGTAGGTATAGAATATAGTTACGAATATATTATGACAACCAAACGCTTTCGAGATAATACCGATTTCGTTGGTACTTTACAATAATTATAATTACAATGCACAAAGTAAAAAAAAATACCTTTTTTATCTGACATTGATGAATTGTTAATTATCAAACCCTAATACCGGGTTGCATGTAAAATGTATTAATAAAATGTAATGGACCAATCATGGATCACTAAATCATGTTTAATGGACCTTTGGTTCACTATTGATTTGTTAAGTGTTTAGTGACCCAGTGAAACAGTGTATTTTGGTGTTAAAAACCAGCGTAAGTGTATCAAATATTTTTCGATCATTATTCTTATAAAAGAGCAAAGTGGTCGTACAAAATACAAATGAATAGTTCATATTATTATCGAGAAATCACTATTTCAGATTATTTAATGTTTATAAGTTATTACCGTCTTACGATTACATAAATAATTTTGTTAAAGTTTATAATGGTTTTTGAAATATTAAACAGACACAGCCGAGCAGGATGATCCATTATTACAGCGGGTAAAACAACTGAAGAAGAATCAACCGCCGATATTCACTGGAAAAACATTGGGCATGACTATGACAACAGTTATTACGGCGGAGAAATCAAAACGTTGGAATGTGAATGGCTTTGAGGGCAAAAGAGAAAAAAGAAAATCGTTGATTAAGGTGACCGGACGTGATGATCGGCCTGTCGAGGCAGCCACGGTAAAGAGCACGGGTCTCAAACACATCGGTAAAGCTAGTGACAAAGGTCAGCCGGTCGTGATCGGCCGATCTTCGTCAACCAGCTGCGGTACCAGGAGGTCTGTGCCGACAATAACCCGGGTAGGTGATCAGACGGCAGACCCTAACCAAATGACGCCATTAATGCCGTTCACGCCCCGGACCCGAACCCAGCCACAAATGACTTCCACAGACAGAAAATGCACGACCAAGAAGTGGAGGTGCAACGATGATATAGAGGACGAACCGGCGACGGACGAGTCTAATAGCATCGGGACGGTATGGCAAGACATCACCTTGCCCACGCGACTCGCAAAGTACCAAACACCAATAGACCCAGTCACAAAGTTCTTTCTGAAAATGACGTCCTACGATAGATGGAGAAGAAAGCCCGCCGACAAATGCACCACACCTTACTAGGCGCTGCAGGTTTCTTTATTTTTTCAACAGAATTAATAATATTAATACTAAACAAACATACTCAAATAGGATTATCCATTTCAGCTGGAAAAACAATTTAAGATGAGTCATACGCCGATATTTACTGAGAAATCATCGGCTACGACTACGACAAAAATGATGACAGCGGAGAAAATTAATGTTGTAGAAGTTGAACTGGTTTGAGACTGAGAAACTGAAATCGTTGATTCAACTGGCCGGGACACTTGTCGGCCACAGTGCCGAATACTTCAATGATAGAGCTGGCGATCAACCAGTTGAGGTACCAGGAGGTTAGTGATGGCCATGACACGGGTAGGAGAACAGACGGCCGAGTCGAACCTGGCAACCGAACCGCAACTGCTCATCGGCCGACTACCATCGGCAGCAAGTTCTCGACGAAGAAGTTGGAGTTCCACGAGGACACGGAGAAAGGACCAGCGAAGGACCGGTCGGATACCATCAGGATGGTATGTTTAATGCAAGACTTCACCTTGCCCACGCGACTGCCCAAGTACCAAACACCCATAGACCAGGTGGTTCCTCCAAGGGACGTCCAACGATAGATGGAGAAGAAGGCCCGACGAACCAATGCACCAAACCTTACTAGGCGCTGCAGCAAGAGCCGATGTCACGTTCCTCATCGTAACTAACCTGCGATTTAGCTTGTTGGACGGTCCTCAACCAGACGTCGTACTGACCACTCGTTCCAAGGCCAGCCAATAAACTGTGCCACAATGCTACGGATTAACGAGTTCGTAATTTACTGTATAATTATATTGGACCGGTCTTTCGCAAGATACATTTTTTTATATAACTATTGCAAACAGCAAGTACAAAAAAGTTTTCAAACACTTTTTACTTCTGTTTGTGTATAATATCTAAAACTATGTAAAATGACACTTGCATACATAGTATATATATTATTATATTTATATTCATAAGGTACATAATGCACGTCATGGTAAATAAACGTTTTAGAAACTAATATCATAAGAACGTTATGATTAGGAACACAACATCCACCGCTGAGGTGCCATAAAAGCTTTGGAGCATCTGTCGGTGGATAAGGTCCTCAATCTGTGGCCGTTGGTCGGCTGGCCTTGGAACGAGCGGTCAGTACGACGTCTGGTTGAGCACCGTCCAACAAGCTAAATCGCAGGTTAATTACGATGAGGAACGTGACATCGGCTCTTGCTGCAGCGCCTAGTAAGGTTTGGTGCATTGGTTCGTCGGGCCTTCTTCTCCATCTATCGTTGGACGTCACTTGAAGGAACCACCTGGTCTATGGGTGTTTGGTACTTGGGCAGTCGCGTGGGGAAGGTGAAGTCTTGCATTAAACATATCATCCTGATGGTATCCGACAGATCCTTCGCTGGTCCTTTCTCCGTGTCCTCGTGGAACTTCAACTTTTTCGTCGAGAACTTGCTGCCGACGTTAGTCGGCCGATGAGTAGTTGCGGTTCGGTTGCCAGGTTCGACTCGGCCGTCTGTTCTCCTACCCGTGTCATGGCCATCACTAACCTCCTGGTACCTCAACTGGTTGATCGCCAGCTCTATCATTGAAGTATTCGGCACTGTGGCCGACAAGTGTTCCGGCCCGGTTGAATCAACGATCTCAGTCTCAAACCAGTTCAACTTCTACAACATTAATTTTCTCCGCTGTCATCATTTTTGTCGTAGTCGTAGCCGATGATTTCTCAGTAAATATCGGCGTATGACTCATCTTAAATTGTTTTTCCAGCTGAAATGGATAATCCTATTTGAGTATGTCTGTTTAGTATTAATATTATTAATTTTGTTGAAAAAATAAAGAAACTTATTTCTAATTGCATTTGTATTCTAGTAAAATTAAATTTACGTTTAAGGGCGTCGGAGCCGGAGCCGATAACTTCACAGGAAAATTCTCACACCCTGTAGAATAGTCCGATTTCGTTAATTTTTTATTTATTTATTTAAAATCAGTGAATATTTTGCAGGTCGGATCATAGCCCGATTTTCAAAATTATAATTATAGAAGCTTTTGAATAATGCACAATATTTGTTCTTATTCAAACGTATATTTCTACCACTATTCAAATTAAGATGAAAATTCAGCTTTTGATCCTACCTGAAAAATGTACCTATACTCTTCTTTAAATAAAAAAGTTAACGAAATCTGACTATTCTATAGGGCCTGAGAATTGTTCCTCTAAAGTCATTTTCATTTATATAATACACTGTACCGATCCCCTCTAAATAGTTATCGATATGTAGATTAGTGGAAAAGTATTACAAATATAAGGTAGTAACTAAAATATAAAATAGAATTTTCAAATTGTTTAGAATTTCAGAAAAGGTGACAACCGGTCACAGGTCACCTGTCTTATTTACTGCCAAGCTTTTTGAAGGAGGCTTTTTGATCGACATATTTTATAGAACATATTTCAACTGCCTCGACTATAAATATTTTAATTAAAGTAAAAACATTTTGAAAATTATATCATGTGTTGTATAGGACATGCTTATACAAACATATAAGGTAAGTATCTAAGATTATTCGTTTTCGAATTAGGTACTTACAACAAAATAAGAAAATCAATTTAGTCAAAAATCCTATATTTCGTAAAAATTCCAGTTTTCTTTTTTTTTTTTTTCCTAATTTAAGTACAAGGGTAATTTTTCCCTTTGATTCCTCCGAGTTAGATTTGCCGGAAAAAATATTGAAGTTGAAGATTGAAGCATTTTTACAGACACAAAAATCATAAAAGTCATACAAAATTGTCATTTTGAAAATCAGAATCGCCTCTCAGAATTCTGCTACTCTCGGAATGTAAAACAGTGGCTTACCCAAAAGTCAAATCTCGTGTATTGCCAACCGTTATAGTTGTTATTGAAACGGTGACATTTTTAGGAGTCCTTAGATATAAATGTTTGGGACACATGTATAAAATCCCGTTATACTGTCACATAGACTGGCCGCAGTTTTCTAAAACAATTTCAAACCCACACTGGCCACAAGTACTTTTCATAATATCCTATCCATAAATCCATTTTTACAGCAGGTCTCTATACTTGATGTTGTGGTCGTATAACAATATACATTTATTATGACTAGGTCGGAACTAATTTTATGCGCAGACAATGTGACCGCTTGCAAGTACCTATCTAAAGTATCTGTTCTCCCTTATGACTATTATACTTCAAATTCGTCATTATTCATGATAATATCAATGACTATACTACTATATGTCTATATGTTATAGTATATAAGTATAGTTATAGTTATATATTGTCTACTGTAGACATTGATCTATGTTTCTCGTGTCTGACGTCTTATTTTTTAAACATATTTTTTATTATATAAGTGTGTAATCGCACAATGACCGCGTAATCCAACAATATGATTATTACAATGTTGTAATGATGTTATAGGACGCCACTTATAATTAATTAGTAAGCTGTGTCCATCTGAAGCCCACTTACGGAGATCACACTCACATCGATGTACTTTGGTTGATATAGACAAAGGCTAATTTATTGTAGATATTGATTAATATTGTATTTAAAATGTATACGTCTCAGACATAAATTAAGGATGAAGATATTCACCGTCCACTGACGATTGACCAATCGTACATTCGTATATATCCGTCTTAGTTATATAAAAGCTATTTATAATTATCATCATATCTATAATAGTTGATTGCTGTTCAATACATGGTTGCTCATTATATATTATATAATATTATCAGTTTTCATTATCATGATCGACGTACCTATGTGAGGTAAGCAATTTTACTTTTACAACATATTATAATCTTTTTAATTTTATATACACTTTTCACTTTTGTAATGCACCATATTCTGTAGAAATGTACATCGTACTTGCACAAACAACGTCATATAATGTAACAATTAACAATCATTACAATCTTAGATAACAAACAATTATCAAAAATGTATTGATATTAGTTTTATAAACATTTATGATCAAGTTAAAAAAATTTAATCTTATAAAATATGTATACATATATAGAACAAAGAATGCTTAAAAGTAAATAAGCAGTAATAATTATGATTTGTTCATAAAATGTTTAAATATGTGCTGTATTCTAAAAAAGAGTTAATTTGAATAATAGCTATTGTATGTTTTTCAATAATATTGTTACAATAACGGTACCTATACCAACCTATCAGGACAATATAAGAAAAATATGAATATTTACTTCTAAAAACTTGAACTCTGCAGCGAGTTGCAACGAATTATGTATAATTTTATATGTGGGGTACTTACCTATATCGTACGAATATAAGACACCGTAAATCGACCACAAATAGGAAGTGTACCTATACCTGCTACCATGCATAGGTATATTAATAAACGGTTACCGACTACGGTATAAAGGAAAAATTTGAATAAATAAAATGCACTCCAATGTTTGTTATCAGGTCAATATATTTTCTCAATCGATGTACCTACATTACAATATATATATAGTATTATTCAACTTTAATCGGGTTGAATATAGACATATATAATATATGGTAAAATGGTCTAGAGTAAATTCGTAGTACAATAATAATAATATTATAATGTTATTGTAGACAAAGTGTCAGTTTTATGAAGAACTATATTATAGGTACACAAACAATATACGTTAAAACTATATAAAAACACGAAATGTCCAGACATATTATCGTATAACAATGCTTAAGCTTAATGACATAATATTATAATAGTATAATATATATAATCAAATTCAATAAAAAAAAAATAGGTAATATTATTTCACCTTCGAATAATAACAAGACTTCGTAGGTATATAGGTACGTGTCGAAAACAGTCTGTATTTTAATTTGTAATAATATGTTAGGTCCGTATAAGTCTGTATATTGTCAAACAAATTAGATCTATTATAGGTACATATACTATTATAACATTACATACCTAATACAATTTATTATTATTTACTTAAAAACTATGAGTATGATCTCTTATAGTCGTATACACTTTAGTCTATAATATAACAATAACATATCAATCGTCTAAAACAGTAAAACGTAAATAATATAACTTTGACGTGACAATATTATCACATACCTATATCATATTATTATGTACACGTATATTCGTCTCAATTTAAAATTATATAGGCAATAATAATTTATATAGTGTGTATAGATGGCACGTAGAGTGTGTACACTATTAGATACTTTAAATTAATATTATAAAAATATTATAAATCACTAACGAACCCAATATCGGCAGACGTATATAGATATATATTATATTATTCAAATATGTATAGTTAATAGGTGGTATTATACGGCGTTCTATACATAGTAAAAAAAATGTATCGTACAATAATCATAATACGAGTTGCATAATTATATAATAATTAATTTATATATACGGGTATATACGTCATAATATTATTAACATAATATTATACTTTCGACGACCGAGTTCTATTTACAGGCGTCGACACGTGGCCTGGGACCGTTATCGAATAGTGTTAGGGGTCGTGGTGGGGGAGGGGGGTGTCTCGTGTGCAGTGGTGAGGGCTTGCTGAGCTAGGGGCGTCGGCGGTCGTTGTTCCGGTGCTCACGTTATGGCGCACAACCGGGACTTGGTCTTGGTGGGTTTCCGGCCGGAAGCGGTCTGCGGATGCTGCGCGGTCGAGTTCTGGTGCGGCATGTGGTTCTGCTGCCCCATGAGCCTGCGCTGCTGCAACAGCCTGTTGACCACTATCCGGTAAGTGGCCACCACGTTGCTCCTCGACCCCCGGGAACCGTGTTCGTCGAGCATGACATCGGTTATGCCGAGCACTTCCAGCGCCCGCCTGGCATTCGTCTCGGTGTCGGTGAACTCGGAGCCGGCCGCCGTCGGGTAAGCGCACCACTGACCGTATACCGAGTTGTTGTTGAACCTTATCTGGTACGCGGATGCCTCCCGCAGCCAGTCGGACTTGAGCACCTGATCGATGTTGAACCGGTGTTCGGGCGACGTGTTGAGCATGGACTCTGCGGAATGCAAAAAACGTACGTATAAAATGTATTATAAATATATTGTTATGTATTATGGGTATATAGGGCTCAGATTACAAAACATTTTTTTTTTAAAAGACTTTATTTTGTGTAAATTTACAATCTATACAAAGTGTACAATAACTAAATGTGATATAAGACAAATATAACTTGAATCCCGAGATTAGGGAGGATACCCAGTGGTAACACCCTATATATATATTATACCTAACAGGTATAATACAGAAATACAAATATTAATAGTAACAGATTAGTGTTATCTTATATTTACCATCTCCAAGTGGGGTGTAATAAATTATGCTTTAATTAATTAATTAATTAATTGTTTTTAAAATTTGTTTAATATTTTATATATTTTAAACGGAGAGATGAATGTATTTATATATTATAAATTACAAAAAATGTGTTTTAAAAAAAAAAAATTGTGATTCATCACTATTTTTGAGGCAGTAAAAATGATTTGATTTTCTATTTCAGCATCTTTTCTGGTAGAAGAATGAATGTGGTTGGTAATTTGGGTAGTCATAAAAAAAAGTCACGTACCCACACGTCAAAAGCATATTCTATTAAATTATAAATAAGAGAATTCCTAAAAAAAATGTATGGAAAATTATTATAATATAATGGATGTACCTATCCACGGTAATTTCCAGGGCCGAAATTTTTAACCAATCCGCCGCTGATTACAAAATAGGTATTGGGATTGGAGTTTACAAATCGGAAAAATAATGTAATCCTCTACGGTTTTGTAAAGTGCAATTTTTATGAACCTGCATGTAGACCGCGGTCTATTGCGAATTCATCCAATCCGACTAATATAATACACCCACACGTCTAGGCATCCGTTAATAGTATTTTTTTTTTTTTTTATTTAAATTAATATCGAAAGATTTATGGGCCTCACTGAGGAAAACTCGTGTGGAGGCCAAAAGTATAAAGTAAGTATATAAGGTTTATGAGTTATGACGAATGTCTGAATTCATAAATGAAAAACGAAAGCACATTATGTCATTATATTTTATTTTTTGATTTTGATTTTAGGTGAACCGTATTTATATTTCAAAGATATTAAACGGAAACGAATTATTGATGATCGGGGAACATCATTATTCAGGTAGACACTATACTTTAGTGCCCACACTGTTAAGTGTATAATGTATAAAGAGTTACTGAATAATGTTGCATTTAAACGCCGGCGCATGTATATAATAATCGCAACGATGTGACAAGCTGTTTTTAGATTTTTCGTGCTGAAAACATTCACATTGCGATTACACATATACTTTTGGATTATCTCCACTCACCGTCGTGGAGCAGTAATCGGGTATCCGATTTATTTATTTTTTGCTTTTGAGTGTGCGTCTACCCTCCCGTACTATAATAATCATTATGTGAAAAAACATTATCTTTTTAGCAAATTTTCAGAAACTACAAATTTTACGATACAGAGACGGTGCGCGGTGGGCCGATGTAATTATTAAAACAGCGCGCGGCTTATTCGCAAACAAAATCTAACTTATATTTACACAGTACACTGCACTCTATATGCATACCTACCTAAACAATAAGTAGGTATAGACGATCGGATTTCCAAGCCTAAATACAACACTTACAGTCCTTCCGTGAATACACACACGAGTATTGATTCGCAAAAAAACAATGCATAATGTACAGCTGTGTGCTAACATATTATTAAAATACGAGTGGTGAGTGCAGTGTAATATGTAAACACTTATTATACAGAGTGATCAAACGTATATGTTCACAACTCGTCTATTTTTTTGTAGGGGTAATGAAGTCATCGGTTATGCTGTATTATATTCCCGCCATATAACATCGAACATTGTGTTTACCGTTTAGCGAAAAAGTGTTCACAGTACATCATTTTTATAATAAATCATAATATCGTATGCTTATACCTACTATATTACCTTCTAGTATACGGCCCTGCAGCCTATGCACCTATTATTAGAAAACGTATTTTTAAAATGTTTATGTTTTTTTTTATTCTCGTACTCCAATTAGGAATAGGCGTGTATTAGATATGTATTATTATAGACAATATATCTGCAGGCCATCTAAACGTAACACCGAAGTATTATCAGCAGACTCTAATGCTGTTGTTTTCGTTATATAGACGTTAGTTGTATTCATTAAAATATTGTCCAGGTCAAAGTACTCTATTTACACATGTTTCTGTGTTTGTGATTAGTTGACGGTTGGGAGTTCATTTGCTCGATGAACCGTCATAATGCACGGCTCCTATTTTAAATCAATATATTATTGTTAATGGCACTAGTGCTGTTATTGTAATATAAATATAAACCAACTACAAAGTACAACTGTGCTAAATCAGTACGCGTGCACACACGTATAATTGACATAATTATATTATACTATTTATATATACAGCGTAGGTACACGTGTAAATATTTTGTGTAGCGTATACATCGGACACAATCATATATTATTATTATTAAATGTATTATCTTCACAATTATTGTATAATATTATATGATCCACATGACATTCAGCCATTATCCTCCGCTAACCGGCAGATTTTGTTGGTCGGGGGGGTCATACAAATTCCCGTCCGTACCACTGCGTACCAATTCGTACTTTATAGGCTACTGAAGGATAGAAAAATAAAACTCAAATATTTTTAAAATGGGCTGAAGTGTCGTACGTCAGAAAACCGACATTTCATTTCATATAATAGAAGCCGATACAAAACCTTAATTTTAATTTGTCCTGTGGGGCGCGATACGATTGCGCGCGGTCCTTATCAGCGGTACCTTTTTAAGCGTACGATTGCGCGCGCTATATTATTTTAACTTTTAAGCAACGTTGCCAAATATATAGGTCCATGGTAAATCCGTAGAATACCATAGTAAATTATAGTAGATTATTTATTACTTATTTTTGCCGATATTAGACAAACTTCCCATCACTAAAGAATGAATTGGTTATATTATCAAAAATATTATCTTTATTGTAAATGTCCATACATGTACGAATATACCTATACTATAATCGTGCATGATGTGACTATATCAATTAACTATCAGTTGTGTTCGGTTCTAATAATAGTTTTAAAAAAAAAAATGTGTTAACTATAATATTATATTATTTATTTTTAGGACTACAAACGGGGCTGAAAGTTTCCATAGTACATATAATGCACAGTTTAATAGTGCCCATCCACCAATATTTGTCGTTATAGCTACCCTTATGGAACCTCAGGCAGAAACAGTTACCAAATTATTAACCATTTCCAAAGGTATAATAAAACCAAAATCCAATGAAGAATCAAGGAAAATTGAAAATTTGAAAAATGAACACAAACATTATGTAAACAATAAAACACCAGAAAATGTACTAAAGTATTTGGCCATAGTTGGAAATAGGTATCGGGGGTTTAAAATTTAATATAAATATTGATTTACGAGTATTATATTTTTTCAATTATTAAATTTCTTTATTTTGTATTATTTTTTTTTAACTTTTTTTATTTTTTATTATTTACGTTAATTTTTTAATTTTTTTTTAAATAACATTTTTTTTATATTATTAACTTTTTGTATTTTTATTATTTACGTAATACATTTGGCAACGTCGCACCCAATTTCACGCGCAATCGTACGCCTTTGAGTAATTAAAATGTTGTCTTTTGTTATTCGGGCACTGCGCGCAATCGTATACCTAAAAAGGTAAAACGCGCGCAATCGTACTCCGCCGGTCCTGTGACATTCCTCTACTCGTTCGGGATTTTTGCGAAACAAGACGTTCACGCTAAGAAAAGAGATTATCTCATTTGAGACCACTATAATACAACTACAACACTATATGTGCACATCGTCGTCTATATACAACCCGCAGTCCGCACCATACCAACCATCGATTATAAATACATATTTGTATGTATAACCCACGATAAGACGTCCGCGATCTCCTCCTAGTGACGGATCCGTAAATTATCATTATCAATTCTATCACTCAATCGCGGTCGTTTTTATTTAACAATTTGTAACCGTTACCTATGAGTGACTTTAACAGCTGGGACATAGACGCCGGCGCTTCCACGCGACCTGCCAGTATTGACCTTCTGAGCCCGGCCATGTTGTCGCCGAGGAAAGGCATCGTGGCGGTGGTCATGAAGAACAGCAGCACTCCCAACGACCACACGTCCACGGGGCGGCCGACGTAACGCTCGTCCAGGAACAGTTCGGGCGCGGCGTACGGTGGGGACCCGCAGAACGTCTCCAACTTTTCGGCGTCTGAAAACACGAAAACGGATTTATACCACCTCGCCATGACTCATGAGTGATAGTTATGACGTCAATATGGTTATCGTCGGATTACCGGGCACCGAGTACCTGATCAATATTTAGCTATATCAATATATAGGTAAACGTATTTACGTATACATAGAACATTTTATAAAATAGATATAGATGTTCAATTTATTAAAAAAATCTCGCCTTGCGGAACGCGTGTTTAAGAGTAACATTATACTACATATATTTTTAATACGCTTAAAGTAACCGTTAAAATAATATTACACTATAGGAACGAATTTTAGGATTTAAAATATATTTTTCAACCCTCGCTGAAATAATATACAGGTATCTCGAGTATAAAATTCTCGTTTTTCGTCATTACGATTTTTCATCAACTCAAAATGAATCTTTGGCTGTCATATTCATAAAACTTGCTGCACCTACACGTATGTAACTTATGGAAATACGTACTTTAAGTATAAGGTATTCCGAATACAAAGGCATAGTGTCATTATAGTGAATTACTAAAAATATCAATCGATACGGTTTATATCTACGAATTAATTGCGTGATTAATTTTCTCATTTTACTCCACGACCAATTGCCAATTACACGCATAAACATTAAACACATAATAATAATAATAATATTACACAATAATTATATAGCTACGTCGAGGAATTTGATATTATTACTATAGTTCCATATTATAATTTATAATTTATATTAGCGTTGGGAATAAAACAAATTGTAATATAATCGTAATCAATATTATTACATCGAAGCAAATTCGTTTTGGAAATTAAAATTTTGCAGCCGTCCGAAGTCAGTGGCTGTGTAGACGTAGAATTATATTATATCGATAATTAATAGTTATTAATTGTTATTATTATTGTGTAGGTATGTCATGTTATAACGACATCGAATATAACGCTCGTGTGTACGAAATATCATCGATGATAATACTAGCTATACGATAATAATATGTAAAATACATAATAGTATGATTATAATAATATTAAACACGTGTTCACGACTGATATAATGCTATAATTTAATCGATGTATTATAGTTCAATTGGAATTTATAGAACATTAATGCGTTATGTATGACGTCGAAGAGCTTCTACGGAATTTACTTATATAGGTACAGTGTATGTTATTGTCACGAAACCGTTGTTTAGGGACGTTAAACCCAAGCAAAAGAGATAAAAGTGAGAATAAAATGTAAATCATTATTTATTCTAATTTAAAAAATTCGTTCATATAAGTTTCGGTCAAGTCCAATAAATCCAATATTAGCTAATAGCGATCCTATTTTCATTTTAGAAATGAGTTTCCATCATATTTTATCCGTCTCACGGACGACAACAATATGCATAATCGTTCCTATAATATAGTATGTTTATTTTAAATTATTTGTTTATAAAAAAAATGATGGGGCCCGCTATAAACATGTTAAATAAAGTCGAGTCTCGGTAACTAGGTTTTTATTTTTTCCCCTTCAAGTGTTTTTAAGTAATTTGTGTTTGAGGTGTACACCTGCAATTATACATATAACTCGAAGAATACACAAGTAATACGAATTAATTTTTATTTCTCCCTCGAGATTCGAGTTATCGAGGCTCGAATGTTATTTAACTTGTTCGAAATAATGATATTATAAGTAAATAGTTCTAAGTAAGTACTCGAGACTGTGATGCTAAAGCCGAAGTCTCCTAATTTGGCGACGCCTCTGGAGCTCAAGAACACGTTCTCCGCTTTGATGTCTCTGTGAACGATGTTGCGGTCGTGCTGCAGCATGGGGAACATGGACGGACAAAAAATACGAATTAATACATTATTATAGGATACAAACGGACGACGGCGGTAAAAGAAAACCTGCGGAAAAAAATTACTCACCAGGTGTTTGACGGCCAACACGATCTGAGAGAAAATGTTTTTCGCCTCCGACTCGTGCATTCTGCCCTCGGATATCAACCTCTTGAACAGTTCTCCGGCCGCCGCGTGCTCCATTATCAAATAGTATTTCGTGTACGTCTCGATCACTTCGAACAATCTGAAATGGGGTTTATTAGGTATTATAATATTATATTGTATAGTGCACATTCAGTGTGGGATGTAGGGGAGGGAGGAAAGGAAATGAACGTCCTGAAATTGTTTATTGATTTCATATAAATTTTGGACTAGGGACTTCGTGTCATTAATAACCTTAAAATTGCATTTAATTATGCCCTAAAAAATCACTAAATATACACTTAAAATATGCTGAATCACATACATATTCTCTCAAAATATGCCTTAAGAACCGAAACATTTTGACTACGCTAAATATAAGTAAAATATTTTTATAGATAATATTATTAATTTTTGTTGTATAAAATCGATATTCATATTTTCAGCCTTCAGGTTTTTTTAAGCTTGTCTAAAAAAAACAACAAAAATTCCATTTATTTATTTTCTATTTATTTTTCTATTTTTAATTCAATAAAATATACTAATAAATTACTACCCAAATTAATAGTTAACAATTGTATTAATTGTACACATCGCGTGATTAGAATTGATAAAATCAACTATAAATGGTCCAGAAAAACTGCAAAAACACAACTCACACTAATTGCTTTGAATATTATCTTAGGTATGACTAAATTTAATTTTTTTTACCAAATTTAAAAAAAAATTAAATTCTAATTAAAAAATATATGTGAAATATGCACTTAAAATGAGAATATAACAAAATATGCACAAACACGTAAAGCAATGAAGTAAAATATGAAGAAAAAACTGAAATAATATGCTAAATAATATTATGCAAAAAAAAAAAAATGTTGTGTAAAATAGATTTCTATATCACTGAGCTATGTTTTGAATGAATATTAGTAAACATGCAAACTCCAGCAAGTCTCTAGCCCTATATAAGTTCTATTAGTTCTAATATACCTATACGATTTTGTACATAAATAGGGCGGAGAGAAATGAAAATATAAAGAAACAAAATACAATATGAATGAATATAGCACATTACAATAATATGACACGCACAATATGTTATGAAAACATGTGATAGATGTGTATTATTATGGATGTGATGGCCAGTTTTACCGAATAACGTTTTGGTGATGTATCGATTCCATTACGGATATCTCCCGGGACAGCATTTTCTTCGCTTTCGCCGTCAATTTTGTCTTGTCTAATATTTTGATTGCAACTCGTTCTGAAAGTATAAAATTATAATATAACAATAAATCGTATTATATACATTCGCCGGCTGTATAAATGTGGTGCGACGTACCTACATACGAAATAAAAAGTACCTAACACATTTTTTTATTTTTTTTGACTGTACACCTCTCTGTTCTTTAGAAAATGAAAAGTCGTAATAAACGAGTTGTCAGTAAACATTTGCAGGAAAACGTTTATTATATAAGTTACGTAAAATATTAATAATTTTTAATGATTTCGGTTTTTGTTTAAGTATTATATAATATGTTTCTTTATTACGACTTTTGAATTTTGCATTTTGTTTTCACTTTATAAACCTATTATATTATGATTTATTTGTGTATGCATACTATTGTGCACATTTTTTTAATACTGGCAATCAATATTAAACGATTACATAACAGTATAAAAATATTTAGTATTTATTTTTTTACGACTCTAATAGATGTTAGTAAATATGTTAAATAATATAATTATATTCATAATCTACGAAGAAAATTGTTGGGTTGATATCTAACTATAATTATTAGTTATTTCATTTTTTTTTCGTAGCACAATTACATCTAAACTATTCGTCTCTATAATTATTTTATATTATTAATATTCCATCAATAATACAAATTAAACAATATAATATGTATATTATTTAAAAGGAGTATTAAGCTCAAGTCGTAGATGTAGATATTACTAGAGTATTACTTGGTATTTCAAAATTAGTGGGGTATAAAATTATACAAAAATACAGTACCTAATATTATATTATAAAATATATAATGATATGTTTTGCAATTTTATACTTAGAGCTAGTAAAAAAAAAAAAAACGGTAGTTCAAATCCGATAGCCTAAACTTGGTACTGAAAAACAAATTCATTCGAACGTTGTAAAATGCAATTCGTGAATTTTTCATTCGACATAATATTATCTTCCTACATTAGCTCTATAAGCTCACACTATATAATAAGTCTATGGACTACCTAGGTATACCTACGTATAATAATAAAAACAAGGCTTATCAATATATTTATAATGCATTTTTGAAAATATCGATTCTAGTGTCATTTATAAATATCGTCAAAGTGTTTCATTTGATCCGTTTAATCAGTCAAGGTTGCGGCCCTAGGTACCTTTGGTCAACTCGTGGTATCCAGTTTTCACTTGCGAAAAATTCCCTTTGCCCAACTCTCCGCTGAGCTTGTACAGGCCGATCCTCTTTCCCACGGCCGTGTCGGTCTGCCATTTCCGGTCGTTGTCCAAGTTGTCGATCGCCTTTCGGTAAGCTAAAATCGGTACAACGAAAACTTTGAACTAAACGCCGTTGGTGTATAATAATAAATAGAGTTCTACGTATATGATGTGTAGCTGTGGCATTTATATATTGTTATAAGTACCTAATTTAGGTATACGGTATAAACGTGTGACGGTGGACTTACCTGTTAACTTTGTTGGAGACGCCTTCTCCTCGGAAGACTCGCACAAGGTCATCGTCGTAACGTCATCGCGTGTTCTCTGAAACAAACCGAAACACTCAATAAATAACATAATATTATATGTAATACAGGCATTCACACTCTTCGCGATCCTTCCCTTCTCCCATTATCATTATTATTATTATTATTATTGTTATTAATATATAATATAGAGGTATCTCTAAAGTAGAGCAGTATTATAATACTATTTTATAATAATATTATGACGTATAGTGCCAGTCGCTCGGTATATTATACACAAAACGCCACTCTCGATGTACTGTACACAGACAAGTCCCATTGATGTACGTATACCTAAGACGTGCATTTCATATTATTTTAATACCCATCAAAATAGATTGTATACGCACATAAACATACCTATATTACCTATATTATACAACACAGAACCCTATATATACTTATGTAAATAATATAATATTTTATATGCTATTTATATATATAATATAGCCATATAGGTAATAATAATAATACGTTATAATACGAACCGTTGTACTTAGGCATACCCAAACATGTATATAATGTATAAAATAATATAGTGACGAACACTCGACGCGGTAAAGGCGAAAAGCAACTGCCATGAATTACGTCTGACGTACACAATCTTATGACGATTATTATTATATCGGACGTAATGATAACAATAACGATTATATAGTATTATTATCTATGAATAATAGCTCTAATGGTCTTTTTTTTATGTACCCTACATGCTTATCAATTATGATGGTTTTGGAAAAAAATTCTTTTTCCCGTAAATAATTTACACTTTGTAAACAAGTTTCTTCGACAGAGTCCTATCATTATTGTTATTGTTATTGTTGTGCGCATATTCCAGACGAAAAATATACCGTCATACCGATGACGTTGAGCACTATAATTATTATTTACCTATTTTTGGTTTTGATTTTGATCTGTTCGAACTGCGATAACAGCCAAGTACATTTTTGTTCAAATCCATATTAATAATATGGAGTATTAACTATTGTGTATATTGTATGTATATTGATTTCCATACTCATAATATTCTATTATTGAGAAAACTGATAGGTATAGGTAATAAAATCAGCGCTCTGACGCGATGCTCATGAAATACAGAATATATTATATCTTTTAGCGTTATTTTTATTATTTAAGCACTCTAACGATAACTTGACGTATTGACTGCGGTTAGGTCATATATATTTTTCATATAGGTACCTAAGTAACACATAATATTCCTCGGCTAGCGGTTGTTCAACACTCTCTCGGCTCATTCCGTAAGTCTCGTGCTGAATAACGTGATAATTGCACTCGCACAGATAAGTAATAAATGAATACATCTGCATATTATAAATGTGCAACGTTTAAATCGAAATACAAGCGACAGGTGTGAATATTATACATATATATCTCTCTCTGTCTGCTCCAACATAATATATGCGGTGATGCTGCTGCAACGATATCAAAATAATAATCTCAAAATATTATTCCACAATATAGAGACCTAATTAGTCTGCGAGCTCGGAGGCCTGAAGCAAATAGTCCCCTCAGGCACACGGAAAACTAATAACTTATGCGTGACGTAACACGAAATTACATCACGTCGAAGACGTCGATGAATCTCCTCCACAGGGTGAGGAGGTGCGAGTGACGCAACGTCACAAGTATGCGTCGGTATAAAAAAATCAAAAAAAAATCTCCGTAAGTCTTAAAATATTTTATAGTCTCTTATCGCCCTCCTCTAATGGAATGTCACTGCGGGTATTCTAAACCATTTAAATAAATTAATTGCACCGTGATATTTTAATGTTCATGCAAGTGCCATCGCGGTGGGTGGGTAGCATTTTTATCAAGGCAATCACACCTTAATGCCTTTATAATCACATTATGCTCATTGCATTAACATTACGTAGATTGTATGCTTTGTATGTTTCAAAAATTAAAAAAATATTATTAAACTAATATTAATACAAGACATTATAATGATAAATGAGTACATAAACGAGAACGAAGATAGTAATAATAATATGTGTCAGTGGCGTGATTATCTACACTTCTATAATAGTAAGTACATACATACTTAGTAATAGCCCAACTATACATGATGCATATAGGTACACGTAAAAGCTTGTAAAAGTGGCACCCCAAGGCCAATTTCAACAGGAGGGGGCGGGAACTCAATATTATATTGAAAAATAAACTTTACACTTAGGTATATAATATATTATGTATACGTACATTTTTTTAAGTATAATAATAGGGATTCCATTATAAAAAATCATTGGCCTATGATTAATTTTAGTATTCTCACATTAGAATATTATATGTATTTAATATTGGTTACTTTATATTATTTGTTTTAGTTGTCCGTAATGGCCTTTGATTGTTGGTGGTTTTTGGACGATGTACTGTGTGACAGGTAGGCGGGGGTGAGGTACTACACAACAATGTATGTTATTTTCGTTAAAACAACGAAAGTGACGCATATTGGTTGCGGTTGCTTGGCGATAAGGTACAGAAGATGCGTGAGACGTATGATGTGTTCCACTGTCCTGTTGGTAAGTCTGACAGCTATTGCTTACAATTGTCTAGACTCCTTGAGTGTTGACAACTTTGATATTTGTTTCTTTTTTTTTCATATATTTCGAGACAATAAATGAGTAAACTGTACCACCAAATCTTAATAAATTCTGTTTCAGCAGTATTTGTTGGCATGCCATACGACTATTAGTATACCATAATATACCATAATACGTAAAAATATATATATCGTGTGCCTACATACTTGGTCAGTTATAATACGACAATTGATGGAAAAAATTAATTGAATCGCTATTTTTCTATAGTAGCACCTACATATAAAAATGGCGCATAAAATTAACATCAATGAGGGGCGAACGCTCCCCTCGTCGCCACTCACCCGGGAACTAACCCCCGAATCTTGAGCGCCCCCGAACACAAATTTCGATACAGCTTATAATATTATAGTAAAACCCTAAAAATTTGTTTTTCCATAGAATATATTACTGTCGTATAACGTCGATTGGCGGTTACCTACCTATACTGGCATTATAAGCATCGTATAAACGAGATATGCTGACGGATTTCCTTGTTTCGGTCCTATGCCTCCGAACTAGGTTTTGCTAATTAGTATAATTACTAATTACCGTTAGATAGTAATTTTACAATGTACTTTTGGAGGCTGCTCGGGTCGGATAATGATCAAATCATACGTATTTCGGATTTCCAAAAAACCGACACACGGAACAGCGGAAAAGCGTGATGTGCAACGATTTCCGTACACGGCGAGATGTTCAGAATTTTCTTAAAAACACCAAACAGGTTTTAAAAGTGAAATTCGACCACTTACTGCGTTACGCGATGTGATGATTAGCGCTCCGGCAGATCCGTTTCGTTACCTGTTCTAAATTACGATTCAAGGTCATGCGATGAACACTACAATGATGTATTATCGTTTACGTATGTTTACACTTGTTTAGGTCTAATTAAGACGAAAGACGAAAATTATATAAAGACGTCACGAGTCACGACCGTGCGTTACACATTAAATCATTATATCACCATATTATATATATACATATATATATATAGATTAAGTGGACGCTTACCTAGAGGTCCAATTGTGGCATATATTATTACATAGGCACCTTAGCACCTATATTATTATCATTGTTTGTATTATTTCAACTTCAATAAAACAATACTGTACTTAATATGTTTAATGTTTATATGTCATATTATTGGCGTGACCCGTTTTATACATATATAAATAAATAAATACTATGTATACAATAAAAACGTTCACCACTCTGTTTGGTTAATATAGTTAATAGTAGAATAATATTATTTGTATAAGGAATTCAGGGTTGTTGTGTTTAAAGTTTAAACACAAGTTTGAAACTGTTTGAAACTCAAACAATTTATTTTGTTTAAAACAAAAAATACACCAACTCTGGACTAAAGTTCAACCTACTTTTGCTGGAAGCACACCGCAAGTCGAGGAACATTTTTCACTAACACATAAATGACGACGGTTGTATTATACACCACATCGCGGTGTACTTATATAGTGTATAATATTTTCCACATACGTCATTGTTATACCAAGCTCGGCTGACGTATACGTTTTAATCACGTGGAATATGATATGTAGGCGCATCTATAGGTCGTATTGTTGGTTTTATTATTTCTTTTGATGAATTGACAAAGAAGTAAGTACACGAATAGAAGCGTTGGGGTGTTGTTTCTTCGTGGATTTTCTTAAATGATGTTATAATAATATATTTCATTTTTCATTTTTACCGGGCGAGTTGATCGATTTTTCCGAGTACTCGGCGATCGATGGAAAATCCTAACCAGGAATGTATATAGTTTTCGCCCCATAGAGCGATCGAGTTTCAGTCGCCATTTTGTTCTACTACACTTATACGACGAAGGGGATGTCAACTTTATAGTTTTTATACCGTAGTAACGCATAACGGCCGAATTTTCGTCAAATCTCAAAAATACAAGACGTATTTCTACTGTTATACAATATAATATAGGCACAAGTGTATTGCCATACGGTGTTGTAGTCTGACACTAACGAAAGTGTGAATTATCGATATCCAAGACAGTTATGTACACAAACTATACGTCTATACATCAATAATGATAAAGTCCGCTCGAAATCTATGTGGATATCCAGGTAAATATTACTATTGCAAGTTGTAACGTTGTTGTTTTATATGTCCTATGTGCGTGTGAGTGTGCTTTTCGTTCTAAACATTTATCTGAAAAAACGTACATATTTTATCTAAGGTTATTCGGTAAAGTTCTTGTGCATGATAATCTTACAATAATTTTCGCTCTCCGTTTTTAATTTTATATTGATATACAACACAGATTAGATTACAATATATAATATGATGATGATGGGGCACGGCAACACATTAATGCATTATATTATTATTAACACAAGAATAATGTTTATTTTTTTTTTTAACTCGAACTCGAAAAATTTAAAACATATGCGTAAGCCGCTTGGAATGAATACTAATTTTTCCACTGAAATTCGGAAACGACTATACGTAAGGAATTCAATCAGATCTTTCCGCCATTTCGCTAATCGACGGTAGTTGTAAACTTTTGAGCCGTTGTTATAACAACCTCGGTAGGTACACACATTTACTACACATTAGTTTCAGGTGCGAGTCGAGGTTTATACTAATAATATATTGTCGGACTTGAACGAGGTTTGCAACTAAACGATTGAACCGTCAAAGTCAAATCATATCTATTGCCATCTTTATATATATAGGTATTTAAGTATGCATCTATAGGTATGCAATAATATGCATATATAGGTGCGTAAGAGGTGTTGAATTAAGAAAATTTTGCTGGGTGAGGGGGGCTCACTTTTTTTCAATTGTCGGACATATAAGTATTTCGAATTATAACAGTCATAACAAATTACAATAAAGACATTTTCAAATTTAGAAATTATTACAAAACAATTAATAATTCTATTGAAAGCACGATTTTATTGATGGCAATCGTAACGATAGTTGGTATTGTACATTTAATAAATACATTTCGTTGACAGTTGTCATGGGGAGAGGGTGTGAATGACATTTTCAGGGGGAGAATTCCCCCTCCGGGGTGTTCTTGGATTCAACACGATGCGACGTACGTACTCGTGGTAATGTGATATAGCTGGTTTAATACAATATATTATACCATAGGATACCGCGTTTAGGAAGTATGTACATAAAAGTTGGTACTCACGGCGGGTTTCCTCCAGCAAAATTTCGGCATCTTCGTCTGTCGCCTAGGAACACTACCGCGGTTATAACACTGTTCGGAATATTCGGTTCCGGCGGTTTTAAAATATTATATTAATTATATTATATTATTACTCTGACGACGACGTCTCCGTCGACGACCGCGAATCTATCGCTGCAACGTTTCGCGGTCTTCGCCCGACGCGGTACAGTCTTAGTGACTCGGGCGGAAAACAAAAGTAATATTATAATAATAATAGTTTATAATTTAATACAATTATCGCGTTGTTATATAATTATTATTATTGTAAGAGTAAGGTTATGACGGGAGAAGAACGACGACGACGATAACAAGGCGGCGGCGTACATAATAATATAGGTGTGCCCGGCAGCTCGAGCATATGTAGAATAACACGCGTAAGGTAATAGACTTTATGATATTATTATTATTATGGCAAATAGCCGCGAGCCCGTGAACTTCGCACTCCCCCGTCGGAGAGCAGCGAATGAACGTCTACTGTTCTGCGAGATTATAAAAACGCGTCAGTGTGCATGATAGGTATATATGTTTGTAACCTATGTACACTTTTGGGTCCTTATCGCGCGTTGGTACCTACATATTTCGGTAATAACTATATAATAATAATAATAATAATAGTTATAGTAACCCACGCGTATGATACGGCCCACGCGGGGTAAAGAAGACGTCGTTTTGCGACATGGGAAGGGGTGGGGGTGTATTCGTAATAAATATAATAATAATACAATACGATACACTGCACGTGTAGGTACAAGTGTGGATTATTATAGAGTCGGTTCGTTTTGCTATTATTACTCCACAACGTGCCCCGCAGTTCACATGATGATTATGTGATATCGTAATATTTACAATAGCTATATATTATATAAGTATTATTGTTATCCAGCTGATAAGAAAGCCTGATCAGGATTTTGTTAAAAACAAAAAAAAATTTGCTGATACATCTCATATAAATATAATATGGATATTCTCGTCGTGTCGGTCTATATCCACGCAAGTTAACATACAGTGACCGTGCCCCCTCTCCAAGCCCGTATTTCTAAAAAAATTAAATTGTCAAAAACTAAATAACAAAAAAACCCATATTATACTAATGACATTTTTCTGAAAATGACGACTTAGGCCCTCCCAAGCCAAGTGACCCCCTCGAGAGCCGCCTTTGACCATATGCATCATATACACACACCGTGGAGAGGATACATAGCGAAAGGAAACAATTATGATTTGATGAGTACAGCAAAAAGCAAAGTATTATTTTTGAAACATGATGTCTTTTATAAGTTTAAGGAAACGAGCTTCTTATTGTTGAAGTCTCAGCTCGTTTTTGACATGGCACGGTCCTCTATGCTCCTTGGTAGATTGAGTTCAAACACAGCGTGGTATCTATTCTGTGAATTCTTGTCACCTATTTTGTGTCAATTTTAGCAGTGGCCAAGTAGGCATATCAGTGGTTGAAGTAGTTTAAAATAAATCAGGGGATTCCTGAATTTTGCATTTTCCTAAGCTCCAGCACAGCTATTAGTTATCTGTTTTGTTCTATACTGGTGTCAGACCTCAATTATTAGTAAGTGCCAGCCGCCGGGTGCCTACTTAGTATACTATTTCAGATGTGAAATTATATTATCTTGTTATAAGATTTTGATAGAAAATATAATATGTTACAGTTAAAACCCGAAATCTGTCGAAAATAGTTTTAACTAGTCAATACTATGACTGATAAGTTATTTTAACTAATTAAAACTAGAATTAACCAGGACCCTAAAACATTGGAACTTTTTTTAGTTAGAACTAGTTGTGTCTGAAAATATATTATAACGGTGAAAACTAAAACTAATTGTTATCTGTAATTGATTTTCAGAATTTTCTCGAAAATTTATTTCACTCATAGTTGGTATTAAAAATATTGTTCATTAATATTAATGAAAAACTTCCGGGCCAAGAAAAATGCAAAAAAATTAACTGTTAACACTTAACACTGTAACGCATTGCAGAGGTTTTTTGCTAAAAACAGAACTATATTTTATTTTACTATCATTAATCATCGTCCTTCGATCTTCACAAGTACAACGGTTGTCTGATGGTTCCTATTCTGGTCAACGTCTTTATTATTATTTTAATAAATAAGTCAAATTATGTTTTCTTATGTTTTCAGGTTTAAATAAATATAAAATAAATGAAACTGAATATAATTAAAATCAGAAATGTTGCTGGTATTATCATTTAACAATCACCAGGATAATTTATAACGTCTAAAAAGTATTTTTCAAAAATCTTTTTTTCCAAATGTATATAAAATGCCACATTTATCACTCTGTTCCAACAAATTCCGCATCTAGTGAAGGAACATTTTCAGCAATGCGTCAAATAGATACTTATATTATGAGGGCAACTATAGATATTTGCCAAATCGATTCTCTAAGTTCTCTATTTTAGCTACTGAAACATTTTAAAATAAAATCGCCAATATTGAGCAGAGGTTTAGACTGTAATGTATTTTTACTACCTAATATAGTAATGGGTATTATTCCTTTTTCTGCTCTTCGTATTATTTGGCTCGCTACTTTCTTATCGTTGGCCACCCTTAATAATATAATATATTATGTATTTTGTAATATAATAATTTATAGAAAGTAAAACACGAGTGATCTATACAAGTATATCATGTATATGACCGTGGCCGGTGGTGCAGCAGTGAACAATAAGTGTTTTCCCGAGCGTCGATTTCCATCGATCGAGACATTTGCATTTACTGGATGGTATGAAAAAGGTTTCGATTACAATCACTCGTATCGCGGTTGGTCGCTTGGTTTTTCATCTCTTTCGGAAATTGTTGTGACACCGAGCAGTGATTACGTGTTTCGATAACACTGTTTTTTAATGGGTATCCGTGCAAAGGCCGAAATGCGAAGCCTTAAAGCTATAGGTTACCGTCGATAACAATAACGGAATTTGTTTTACTACAAAGTCTAGAATTTACTGCTTATATTTAACTTATTATATATGTATACACGGTTGATTGTCTTATAAGTATTTTTGTTTACTAGATTTTTATTGTAGTAATATCGACTCTATATCCAGAGAATATCAGGATAATTTAGATAATTATTTAAAATACTATAGTTACATGCATGCACTCGTTGTTATACAGCGAAGGAGTAATTATAGCTTGAAGGTAAACAATAATGTCAAGAACTATTATTATTATTTTACTGTAAAAATCACGTAACTCAAATAATAGATAATAATATACATAGAAAATTTAAAAAGTTTCAAACATTCGAAAGTTTTTTTACCATTTGCATTTTCTAATATTATATTTGTCTATACATAATAATATAAAATTTTATCCAACTGCAATTAAATTATTAATCCTCTAATGTTTATACGTGTTGAAATAATTTAGATTTATAATACCACCTATATAATAGTCAAGACTACATAGGTGCAAAAATAGTTTGAGGTTTGGGGGGCTAAAGCCTTACTCTATTATATTGAATAACCTTAAAACAAAATGTAGGAAATGTTTGGGGGGCTATTGACATTTTGGGGGGAGCTTAGCCCCTAAAGCCCCTCCATATTGGCGCCTATGTAAGACTATTACGTCAGTATGGTCATATTTAAGTTAGTATTATACAAGCACCGTAATAAGTTTATAACTTCAGAAAAAAGTCCTAGACTATCATTTCAAACTTGAAAAACTTTTAAGACAGCAGAATTGTCTTTATCTATAAAAGAAGGCAAATTAATTATTCTGTCTAAAGCAAACAAAAATAATAATAATAAGTAAATAATAGTATAAACACTCATTTGAATAACTTAAGGAAACGTTCAGTCAATAACTGACCTTTTCAAACACTTTGTCAAGTAAAAGTTAAGTATCAATAATAATTTATTACTAGGTTTGTTTTATTCGAATTTTATTCACTTTAATGTACTTTTTTCTACAGTTGTGTAACAAAGCGTGGGATTTTTGGTAGGTATCCAAATTGTCACACATGTAATATATAAATAAAATAATAATAATAATAAAATGAACAAGCAAATAAAACAGAGATGAACGACCGACCTATTATAAACGAAAACTTAATTTTTCAAAAATATCCTTCTTGGTCTACTACTTCGAACTACATGCGACGATATTCTACTCCGATATAATAATAATATATTTGTGTATATACTACCTTTATGAGTCACGGCTGGTTATATTTTTCAATTGCCACATGAAGACTTTTTCAAAAAATCATTAGGTATTTTTTTTTTTTGTTTTTAATGCATAAAATATAAATTAAATAGAATGTATTTAATATTTCGTTTTTGGGCAAGCTTTAATTATATATAGTTATTACTTATTAGTTATATCAGCTATGGTATAATACATACAACTATACAGTATTACAGTAACAGAATAGCAGCGATTATTCGTTTGTAACGACATATTAAATAAATATAATGTATACCTACCTAGCCACAGTGGTGTGCATGATAGCGGGGAGGGGAGGCATCACACTCCCCCTAAAATTACTTCCTCTTTTGTGAAAATTTATTTCTACAAAATTCTACTCTTCTCTATAGTAGGTATACCAGTCAGTAGCGTGTTATTTCGCGGAAATTAGCACAACCTCCTCCAGGAAATAAAAACCCTGTGCGCTACTGCCCGTCAAAATAATATTATGTAAATAGTAAAGTTATAGCAACATTTAGGAACATACTCGTTTTTGTAACAACATGGTAACATATATTTTAAGATAAATATGTTTTCGGGATGAATACAAGATTTATCTTGTTTCTGACTGATTTTTCGTAAGATTTTCGTAGTCATGCGGTCACTTATAAAAAGTCAATAAGTCACTTATTGACAAAAACATATTGATGATTCATTAAAGATTTTCCTCGGAGAAGAATGATATCGAGTAGTGGCTTTGATGGTTATATAATATAAAAATAATCTATTGCGTATTGTCTGTCATAAAATCAATGATAGTATATACAAATTGAGCATGTTATTAATACTTATATCGTAGCCATATCATATTTTATGTTACACTTAATGCATGCCTAACATATATTTATGGGTCGTATATAATATACATATTATTTTATTATGTGTAGCACATTTGATTGAACAAATTGGTCAATGAAATTATTATGTTCTCAGCTCGTCTTTTGACTACACACAACTATATGTATACGAATGCGTAATATTTGTCGGTATAGAACATAATATTATAGGAGTGGATATACAGGATATAACTACTGCAGTGTCTATAGTTGAAATGATTGACTAAAAGAAAATTAATTAATATCCGTCAGACGCTCTTAGTATGGGCGATTAAAATTAAAATCTATAGTATAAAGTAATTATGTGTAATGAACTAATGTGTACACTGCTGTGTGTAAGCTATAAACACTTTTAAAAATAAAATATTATAAAAACGTGCATTTGGTGGGTAGGTCCTCCTCATAAATCAAAAAATATTATTTTATGGTAAAAATATATATTTCTCTGCTACCTATTCCAAACATGATCTGATATTCATATTTCATATTATTCATAATATTATGTGATCAGTTTGAAATCACAATAATTGATGAGTTCAGAAACTAATATAACTACAAATAAATAAAATAGTTGCTACTATTACTTACTATACTATAACTAATAATAACATCAGCAAAACGCAATTCCCGAGAAATTACACCAGCAACTTGACAACACGATGGTAACATATTATTATTATTACACTTTTAGCTCAATGTTTTTATAAATATTAAACTTTATTGAAAATAATTTAATTTTAATGTTTTTAACGTAATTGAGTTATACATTAATTATGATGTTTAATTTATTGGTTATAAATTGTTTATCATTTTCAACCATTAGGTACAGTGCTATTAAAATATTATCGAAATTGTGTAAACTGTACCATTTAATACGCCATATAAGTGATCTAATTTCCGAATAGCAGTTATTGATAATTAGTACTAATTACTTACTAATTATTATATATATCCAATATTGCGTATACTATTAATGTTTCTTGACCCAGTTTCTTGACGCAAGAAACTCATTCATTCGAAAACTGTTTGTGCTCATGAAAATATTTATTTATTATTTTTAATTCATAAAAACATATTTTTTTTTAAATAACGCAAGTGTTTAACTAATAACTTTAAAATGATTATCCTGTATGGATATTGGAAATATATTATATATATATATGTAAGTATATTATAATATTAAGTTAATAAAGACTCCGATATTATTATAAATGTTTACTATAGTAAACTGTTGCAACATGGGCCATTGGGATTTATGTAAATTTTCAATTGTATTTATAATTATTATGAGTTAATTAATAATAGTAGACTAAGGTAGACGGAACAGAGAAAAAATATAAAAATAAATAAAAGTACATGTTTCAAAGTTTGATTTCGTTGATTGTGGAGATTAGATACCTATATATTACTGTTATTACAAATTATGTTGTTCAACTTCATACATAATATTATATTTAAGCTAAAAATCTAAGACACGTGCCCCTCTTGGCATCTTGACATCTTATCAAAATCTTTGAACAGAAAAACTAAAATAGTAATTTAAATTTATTTCCATAACTAGAATTTAATCAGGGAGTTTTAGCATTTTTATTGAAAGTTTAAAACGAAACATAATACAAAACTGTTTTTAAATTACATTTGTATTTGAAAATAATTAGATAATTTATGCAAGAACGTCAAATTTATATTTTTGTACTCGCTTCGAGACTATATAATATAAGTATATTAAGTAGATATAATATACATTTTTAATGTGTCCAAAGTTTGCCAAAAGTAATTTCGGTCTGCTCCATTTAGGTAGTAATAATTTCACCAATTACCAGAATAATATCGTTTTCAGTCTTTTGTTGGTCCCCATAGTTCAGTGAGACACGCGTCGGTCTCAATACACGAAGTTAAAAAAAAATAATTACAATTAGGTATATGAACTCCGAAACACAGACAAATGGGTAAGTATATATATAGTAGATACTAGATACTATGTATATTTTATAATACATATCTGTATATAGGACAAAACTTAATTGTATAGCGTGAAAAAAAAGTATATTATTCTGTCCATACTTGTTAAAAGTTTGGAAACGATTTATTCTTTTTTTGTAATTGGACGTTTCCGTGGTAATTTTCGTATTTTTGCTTTTGTTTTGACTAGGCATATAACATTCAATCTGTATTAAATATGTGTTGTAAACGAAATAAATTGAATTGTTATATCTTTTATTTTATTTTTGTTTTACATTTTTTTTCTAATTAAATAAATCTAATTATTTACTTGAATATAAAATTTCAGTGATTTATCTATCTCTTTGCTTATTGCTTGTGACGGTAGACGGAGATAGATCGTTTGGATATAAAAAATTATATATTAACAAAATACATTTGTAAAGATATTGATATTATATGATTTTAATGCATTTTGAGAAAGAGAGTGACAGAAAAATAAGATATTAAAGATAATAAAAATTGTAAAAATACAATGAATAAAACAAAAATAATATGAAATATGATAAAACACAAAAATATTTTCATTCATATTTATCAATTTAAACAGTAATCCAAAATATTCGGTACATTTTATAGGAACCTAATTTAAATTGATCACGCATAAAAACCTGAAACATTATTAGGGGAGCGAGGAGGATTTAACAGGGAATTTATCTGTAGTCCAGTGAAGGTATTACAATAATGTATTATAGTTGCCGAAATGTTTTCACTCCCAAACTAACAGTGGTGGAGCAGGGGTGTGGATACTATTTTTACTGGGCTTGAAATATTATACCAAATTTATTGTTGATTTGTGTAATTTA